ATTTTTTTTTGCTTTGTTTACAGCCGTTACCGTGGAAACCACTATATTTTTGATGTTCCAAAAGCACCTCCTACTGGCAGAGAATGAATGTTCATTTTCAATAATCCAGTATGCAGTTTTTGTTCAGACCAATGCAAAAGTCCAGCCACATAATCCCGTTTAAATTAATATAATAATTTATCATTCTTTTCTGACTCATCCCTTTTCTTAAAAATGGGCTCAAAGGCTCAATTGTGAGGTTTACCATTTTATAATTTATTTTATTTTTGTGAAAACCTGTATCTCAACTGTAAATCAATTGCTATTTCGTGGTCTACAACATGAAAAAAGCCATTATAACATGTACATGAAAAATGTAGAAACATTGGACACAACTATGAGGCAACATTGTGGAGCAGCAAGCATCACAACAACAAAAAAAAGGAACCTGAAGGTTGATCTAGGTAAATGTGTGCAAATGTATAGGGCCCCATTCCTATATTTTGCCTGGGGTTCCCAATTCACTAAATCTGCCCCTGCTTTACGGCATTGGTCCTGCGTTTTGTTCACACAGGGCCCGTTCCGGGACTGATCCCAGCAATGCTACTAGGTCCCCATCCCAGGATCAGTCCCGGGACATTTTTGCATTCACACAGAAGGCACTCTGGCAACTTTCCGGGATCAACGTGCTGTGTGACAGGGGCTATATACTTCATTCAACTGGAATACAGTGTTTGAACAGCCTTAAATATCCATACATTTTAATTATGACCTTATTTTTTACATTATGAATGGCTGATTTAGTATAAGCCAGTTGTAGTTTGAGGAGTTCAACAAGAAACACAGAGCTATCGGATTTTCTCATTCATTCAGAGACTGTCTAGAACAGGACCTGATGAGCTACAGCACAGACATCAAAGCTGGATGGTATTGACCTACAGTGAAAAGCCAATAAGAAGAATAATGATGCTTTTATGAGTTGTTTGCATACTCTCCAGCCTTCTGCATCTCTTCACAGATGAATGTGAGCTGACATAAGCTGTTTTTACACACCCCCTTGCCAGGGTTTGCAGCCACCACAAAGAGCTGACTGTACTGAACTTTACACGTGTACATGCTGTTCTTTGAGAAATTAAATACAAATAAAATAAATACATTAAAAATAAACAATAATAAAAAAGTCTCAATAAAAATACTTGTCTAATAATATTATAATAATTTTGTAATGCGTTTCATGACTTACTAGACATTACAATTCATTCAAGTTAAGAACGCTTACAGAAAAGTATACTACTTAGTGTTTTGCTGCCTCGCACCTATCTGTCAAAGCCATGCATTACCGTATGAAAGTGGTCTTCCCTGTGGAATACTGTCCGACCAGCAGGACCATAGGTTTGTTCTGGAAGTCCGCATCCTCCAGCGCCGGTGAGTGGAAGTCATGGAAAAGGTAGGTCTCCTCCAAAGGCAGAAGTTTTTTAGCATAAAGACTCTGAAGTCCTTCAGTCACCGTTTGAAACATGTCTCCCTCCTTGTTCCTTCCACCCTGTTCCTTATTTACCCAAGTGAACATGTTGCCGTTCCTCGCAGAGCTCTTTTATACGTGATGCAACCTTAGTTCCCTTTTTATACTTGAGGAATTTAAAACTGTCCCAGTGTTGTTGTTGTTTTTATTTGTTTGTTGTAGTATTGACACTACCGCGTCTCCTGGCCTCTGCGCGGACTGTCCAGCTGTCAGCAAGATTCACAAGCATTTTGTTAGATTTATAACAGGGTTTGTCAGAATTATTCTAAAATGTCTGGAAAGGCTGAGGAGAGATGTCTTACTCTGCATGATGATTTAGAAAAATAATACAAAATCTAATGGATCTGCACAAAATAATGTTAAATCTTAAGATAGTAATGATAAAGATTTATGGTGAAGTTAGTTACTTAGGGAGAGTATATCCCAATTTCATTTTATATAGAATAACTTTTATGTCACACCATATGACAATTTTAGGCACAAATGCAACAAATTGGTAAATAAATCCAATTTCCAATACAAAATCTAAAAGACCACATATTTTTTTGGAAATTCAAGAGTCAGTACAACACAGCTCAATATTTTTTATGCCTAATATTTGAAGTTTAAAAAAAAAAAAATTTTCAGGCTTATATGTCAACCACCCACACGCAGTTACTTTTTTGGTTTATATAATCCTTAGGTGTGTAAATGTATAATTTCCTTTTCAATATTTTTTTTTGCTTTGTTTACAGCCGTTACCGTGGAAACCACTATATTTTTGATGTTCCAAAAGCACCTCCTACTGGCAGAGAATGAATGTTCATTTTCAATAATCCAGTATGCAGTTTTTGTTCAGACCAATGCAAAAGTCCAGCCACATAATCCCGTTTAAATTAATATAATAATTTATCATTCTTTTCTGACTCATCCCTTTTCTTAAAAATGGGCTCAAAGGCTCAATTGTGAGGTTTACCATTTTATAATTTATTTTATTTTTGTGAAAACCTGTATCTCAACTGTAAATCAATTGCTATTTCGTGGTCTACAACATGAAAAAAGCCATTATAACATGTACATGAAAAATGTAGAAACATTGGACACAACTATGAGGCAACATTGTGGAGCAGCAAGCATCACAACAACAAAAAAAAGGAACCTGAAGGTTGATCTAGGTAAATGTGTGCAAATGTATAGGGCCCCATTCCTATATTTTGCCTGGGGTTCCCAATTCACTAAATCTGCCCCTGCTTTACGGCATTGGTCCTGCGTTTTGTTCACACAGGGCCCGTTCCGGGACTGATCCCAGCAATGCTACTAGGTCCCCATCCCAGGATCAGTCCCGGGACATTTTTGCATTCACACAGAAGGCACTCTGGCAACTTTCCGGGATCAACGTGCTGTGTGACAGGGGCTATATACTTCATTCAACTGGAATACAGTGTTTGAACAGCCTTAAATATCCATACATTTTAATTATGACCTTATTTTTTACATTATGAATGGCTGATTTAGTATAAGCCAGTTGTAGTTTGAGGAGTTCAACAAGAAACACAGAGCTATCGGATTTTCTCATTCATTCAGAGACTGTCTAGAACAGGACCTGATGAGCTACAGCACAGACATCAAAGCTGGATGGTATTGACCTACAGTGAAAAGCCAATAAGAAGAATAATGATGCTTTTATGAGTTGTTTGCATACTCTCCAGCCTTCTGCATCTCTTCACAGATGAATGTGAGCTGACATAAGCTGTTTTTACACACCCCCTTGCCAGGGTTTGCAGCCACCACAAAGAGCTGACTGTACTGAACTTTACACGTGTACATGCTGTTCTTTGAGAAATTAAATACAAATAAAATAAATACATTAAAAATAAACAATAATAAAAAAGTCTCAATAAAAATACTTGTCTAATAATATTATAATAATTTTGTAATGCGTTTCATGACTTACTAGACATTACAATTCATTCAAGTTAAGAACGCTTACAGAAAAGTATACTACTTAGTGTTTTGCTGCCTCGCACCTATCTGTCAAAGCCATGCATTACCGTATGAAAGTGGTCTTCCCTGTGGAATACTGTCCGACCAGCAGGACCATAGGTTTGTTCTGGAAGTCCGCATCCTCCAGCGCCGGTGAGTGGAAGTCATGGAAAAGGTAGGTCTCCTCCAAAGGCAGAAGTTTTTTAGCATAAAGACTCTGAAGTCCTTCAGTCACCGTTTGAAACATGTCTCCCTCCTTGTTCCTTCCACCCTGTTCCTTATTTACCCAAGTGAACATGTTGCCGTTCCTCGCAGAGCTCTTTTATACGTGATGCAACCTTAGTTCCCTTTTTATACTTGAGGAATTTAAAACTGTCCCAGTGTTGTTGTTGTTTTTATTTGTTTGTTGTAGTATTGACACTACCGCGTCTCCTGGCCTCTGCGCGGACTGTCCAGCTGTGTGTGTGTCGCCGTGACCTCACCTGTATCCTTTTATGTGACGCGCTCTTTCTCACGACGCTGGTTTGAATATTCATGAGCTGGAGTGACGCACTGGTTTCACACTGGAGAGCTCCCGCTGGCCGCTGCTGAGGGCGGGTGGTTAGGGAGCAGTGAAACTGTAGGCACTGGCACTGCTGACTGCTAGTTCTTTTCAGTGAAAAAGAGAAGGGTAGGAACAAAGTAGCTGACATGGCGAGAACCGAAATCCGCATTTTGAGAAATGAAATCCTTGAAATGAAATCATCCCGCAGTACATAAATATAAACCTAATTTAAATTGTTTGGCAAAGCGCCGCAGGATATTTTAAAGAACGTTTAAAGACGCATTTTAAACCAAATTTTGACAAGCAGATACATGTATTAACAGTATATACGTTTTGTATAGATCCTGCTTATGGTGTTTCACTGTGACCGAAATTCCCCGTTAGCTCATCCCGTCAGACAGTGGGCAGTCAGGCTTGTACATTTACGACACCTAGTGGTCAGCAATGAATTAACAGTATGTTATTGTTGTCCCTAATTGTTCAGCTAGGATGGGTCTAAATAATTACTTTTTAAACCTCTAAATGGTTTATTTCCAATTCAAAGGCTACCAGTTTCTTTAAAAAAATCTTAATATTTTAATTAGGTGTAAATTATTGTTTAGACCTCTCACATATAACCTCTTATTTTTGTTATTGGTGCCAGGTATTAATTATAGATATTAATCCTGAGGATTAATAAATTTAAATGATTATTATTATTAAGTGTAGCAGTATCTCAAGACAAAAAAGCTACTTTTTGTCCAATAGGAAATAGGTATTACTGTTATTGACCTGACATCATGCGAAAAAAAAAATCTATATTTTTGTATAATGGTATTAGTTTGTGAGAAAAAAAACAGTTCTAAATTGATACTTTTTCTAGCAAAACATTTGCTTAAGTGCACACTGAGGAATAAAAGCAGTCACATAGTCTAGTAAGGTAGGTTTCAGTTCCCCTCAGGTCCAAAAAAAAAAAGTACTTCAACTTGACATCCATAAAAACAGAATTCAGAATGTTTTCCAACAATTTTATATTGATATATTTATACATATATTACACATTCAAACAATACTTGTGCAAAAACCATCCCTACCATGAAAAATGATCTGGATTATTGTTATGTGTCTCTAGCAGCATGGCTGGAGGCATAAAGGCATTACTTTAGACTGTTTTAAAAAATAAAATACAAAACACAAAAGGACAATAGATTCTGATGCATAGCATCTATTAATTAGAACATTACAAAAAATAATGTGTCAAAGTGGTAAACGCAGAGAAGGTTAAGTCATGTAAGAATAGGTTTTACATGCATAAAAACTGAGGTTTTGCTTTTTTGACAATGGAACCCTTGCAGGGTCACTGTTTAGTGCCAATATAGTCCTTCATGAATGCTCTATAGTCAGGTCCTTTATAACGACTACACAGAAACACGTCCACCTCTGCCCGCACAAACAAGACTTTCTAATCACAAAATTCCACTCCACATCAACTGTCCATCAACAAACCACTACAACACAACAGATGTCAGTTCAATATTTGCATATTGTACAAAACCACCAAAAAAAAACACCAATACAAAGCTTGTCATGATTACCAAACATGAAGGACAACCAGTATGAGAGATGACCATTAGCCTCAAATGCATTCATACTCAAAGGCTAACATGATGATGAGTGTAAACAGCTTTCTTTTACTTTGGGCTGGATGTTAGTCAACCAACACATCATCGAGGCATTATTCACTTCAATTTCACCTCGTCCTGTAGATCCAGAGACATTCACATTCTCTTGGTTGATTAGAGTTGACGTATTACTCTTCACTGCATCTTAGATGTAGTGACATGGGAGATTTCATCTGCTCAAACCTCCTGCAAAAGGCCGAAACTATCTAGCCTAGCAAGGCACTGTTGTTTCCCGAAGAGCGCACCATCTCACGAGCACAAGCTGACGGCTCGGACTGTTATAAACCCAAACTTGTCCTGAGTTCTGCCTCTCTCAGCCCTGCTCTTCGAAGTCTTGACTGAGAGGGCTACATGACTTGATATTATCTGGACCCAGTGAAGCTGAATTCAAGGGTCCGGGAGGTCAGAGGTGTCTACAGTCACCTTGATGAAGATGGTGTCGTCTTTGATGTAGGTTCCGTTCTCCAGGACAGTCTGAGCCACAAAGAGTGGACAGCCCGAGGCGATGTTCATTTCAACATTGGGCCGGCGAAAGCTACTGCTATTGGGGTCTGGTTTGAAGGCATCACCTAAGTGTTTCCGTGCTGGCCCCTGGTCCATTAACATTAATGTTACTTTCTGTTTGAACGGCCATGGCAGCAAGGCATCATATTCCCCGCGCATGACCACGAAAAAGAGCGAGAGATGTGTGCCTTTACCCATTCCGTCCCCATTGAGATAGATGCGGGCACACATCTTGTAGCCGAAATAGCCCGTGTAGAAGGGCTGGCTGTAGAGCGAGAGGGCTTTGGAGGCCACGGCTTCTTGTTTCCGTCTTTTGTAGTCACGGATCTTCCAAATGAGTGTACCGTTGAAGCTGGCCGTCTCCAACACCTGCAGCTTCAGGTCCATTTCTGCCAGGCGGATGTCATGGACACTCATCGTATCATCGTGATGTGAGAGCTGCTGCTCTAAGGAGCCTGGTGACAGTATTGAAATGGGTTAAAAAGAAATGTTGTAAACACACATAAGTACTTGGTATAATGCATAATAATTCAGGTGTATATGAAATTTTCTCACCCAGGGTGTGAGAACCAGGACTGGAACCAACACGACCCGAATCGAGAGAAGCTACAACTGAACGCATGCTCTCCACGGACGCTCTCAGAGCCTCCACCTCCTCCCTCATAGCTCGCAGAGGACGAAGCTCCCGCAGCTCCATTTCAACCTCAAGCAGTTTCTCTGAGTGAGTGCTCATCAACATCTACATACATAAACACACACAAACATTTAGAGAACTTCTTGAAGTTTTAATCACAGATTGTAATATTTCACAGCTGAGTCTCTGTCTTTTTAAGATCTAAGTTTGGCCAAAAAAAAGGGGGGGGGGGGGTTTAAAATTTTGATTTAAATCAATTATTTTGAACATGAAAATACATTAATAATGTAACTACAATGTATAAATATAAAAAAAAATTGTATAGTGCATATCTTGCCACTCAAAAGTTTGGTGTCTGAAAGATTTTTAATATATATTTTTTTTAAGTTTCTTATACATTAAAAACAGTAATGTTGTGAATTTTTATTGTGGCTATAAAATAATCGTTTTCCATTTTAATATATATCAAAAAGTAATTTATTCCTGTGATGGTCAAGCTGAATTTCCAGCAGCCATTACTCCAGTCTTCAATGTCACAATCGTTCAGAAATCATTATGCTGATTTTAATAAGAAACATTGCTTATTATTATCAATGTTGAAAACAGTTGTGCTGCTTTATAATTTTGTGGAAACCGTGATACATTTTTTTAGCATTACTTGAAGGTTCAAAAGAACAATTTATTAGAAATAGAAATCTTTCTTAATATTCTAAATGTTTTTGCTGTCACTTTTAATCAATTTAATGTGTACTTGCTGGATAAAAGTATTAATTTCTTAAAGAAAAAAAGAAAAAATTACTTAATATATAAAAACCCCAATTTTTGACCAGTAGTGTTTATTTTTGTCATTTCTTCTTTGACTCACAGAAATTTGTTTTGCATTGAGGTTCTACATAGTCACTGTCATCAAACAACAAACAGAAAAACATGGAACAATATATAGTGGGGTCCAAAAGTCTAAGATCACTGTTGTTGTTTTTTATTTTTTATTAATTAATTAATTAATAATAAAAAAAAAACAATAATGGAAAAAAATGGCAATTTATGAAAATCACATCTACTGTATCAGCATAACAATTTGAGTAAAATGTTGAACTGAAACGTGGATATGAATTTCAGAATTTTTAGTATTTGGTATGTCCTCATTTTGCTGAACATTTAAAAAATGTTCCAAAGAGTATCTTCAATGGAAGCAAATAATCTAACAACCTTTTATACAAAGTTTAAAGGGACCTATCCCGTTATTTTGTATAAAACATGTTAAATGTCACACATTCACTAATTTATTTAATAGACAGATATTTTTAATGTTTCTTATTCACAGAATAATGTTTCTTTCTTTCAATTATTCAAAATCCAAAAGCTTTAATTTTTTCCAGGTTTAATTTTCAATGTGGTCTCAGACTTTGAGCCCACTGTAGAAGGCATGTCACAAAGCAAAGGCATTAAAACATAAAAGCATGTGTAAGACTGAAGTATTGCACAGTACAGCACAGCAGACTTGCGTCACTTTATGCAAAGTAGAAGTTATTTTTAGCTTCACCAAATGACTCAAAAGAAAATAAAACCACTGCTTGGTCACGGCTCTCACCTGCACGCTGACAACCTTCTGCTCCAGCTGCCTGATCTTTTCTCTCATCTCCTCATTCTGAGTCTCAACCTCTGCAAGACGACTGCTGAGGCTGGGCAGAACTTTATAACGCTCCATCAGCTCGCTCTTAACATCCTCTACCTACACACACACAGATTGATCAGTGTATGTGTTTAATCTGACTACATGTATGTACATATGAACAGGAAAAAGCATATTCATTTTCACACCGAAAACAACCCTTTCTAGTTTCTGACATGTTAAATATAAATGTCTATAAATGTCTACCTTGGCCTCTAGTGTGGTGTTTCTGACCACCATCATTCTCAGGTGCTCAGACGCAAAACTGGACTCATGTTCCCTCATCTCTTGATTCAGCCCCTTTAACATAATCAGATGCATATTAGTAAACAACTAAAAAAATATTTTTCATATATATTTCTACATTTACATTTATCTACTGTACATATTTTAATCAACATTGAAGCGCTACACTACTGTAATGTTAGTACATTTCAAATGTCCTTTAAATCAATATCTGCTCAGGAATATCACCTTAAAGGAGCATCCGTAGCGAATAAAGGAGCAGGCCACCTGGGCCTTTGGACAGTCATGCTGATGAATGGATAGCTATAGGAGACACATCCAACTCATAAATACATCACAATTCATCTGCCTTTTTCATTCATTTATAATTGAATTCATTGTTCATGCATTTAAAAGCAAATACACATAAGTTAGTAAATCAAAAGTAATGCTCAGTGCACTCCAAGCCTACCTCACTTCTTAGAATGGAAGAAAACGAGCACTGATTAGGGCATGCTATAGGAAATGCAGGACAGACTGTATCTTTGTGTTTCTGTAAAGAGAGACGACTGCTAGACTGAAATGCACTAAAACATACTGCATACTGACACTTTCACGGTTCGAGATGCTAACAGTTAAAAAAACTGTGTGGGGTAATAATGACAGGATCAACCAGGCGGAAAAACAGAAAGCGATCTTGAAGTGAAAACACATCGATCATTCTCTAAATGACAGTCAACATAACGGGAGATTCCCCTAAGTTCCTTGTACAAATGTGAAACTCAAAGGTCATGGGACATTAATGACAGAACACAAGGGGAATACTTCTCATAGAGGAACTGAGATGTCCACTAATTCCAATCCAGGAAAAAAAAAACTCAATGATAACTGAAAAAAAGATCTCATGAATTTCTAAGTACTTTCCATTAGATTTCAGGTCCTTTTCATGAGAACTGGGGGATTTTGGGTAATGCGTGTTACCTGTAACTCAGTGAGGGCCATCTTGTGATTGCAGAATTCACAGGTTATCTCTCTGTGTTTGCATTTGCGGCTCAAGTGCTCAGACATGTCTTTCCTTATCATCTTCTCCTTACACTTTCCCAAGGGGCACGGCACCTCGAAGTACGGACAAACTTCCAAATGGTCCTGTTCAAAAGAGAGAGACAAATCTGAATTTTATCTTTACCTAAAAATAACACACATGGCATATAATCTATGAATGAAACTACATTCGCCATTCTCACACTTATAAAATGATGTGCAAGTTAGTTTAAGTCTAGGCTCACATTTCTCGGCGCTCGAGGCAAGTTCTAGTCAGGAGGAATTTAACATATGATATGTAGACTATTGTGTCTAAGAATCATATGACTTACCATGACCTGCTGTAAACTCATTTGTTCTTTACATCCATTTTTCTCACTTCGGCAGTAGACCTTCAGAGCCATAATTTCCCTATTGCAGCAAACATCCCGGAATATCTAACATCATAAGAAAGAAAAAAAAAAAACATCTGTTACAGGGCCTGCATAACAGAGATGTGTTGTGTGCCTGTTATATGGCCCACATTACTTTCACTTGGAGCTGTATGAGTGAGATTTAATATGTAACGGAGTGGATGTGTCCTTGTAGGTTTTGGCTTCACTTTCTTACCTTATCTTCAAAAAGTGGTTCTACATCAGCTGGACAAACTGGGTTAGGCTTACTGAAAAAAAGTCAAATCCAACTATAAGCAAATTGTATCCATAATTCAAATGACCTACATTTTGAAATAAAAACAACGGGAATACCCCAAGATTTATTTGCAATGCTATTTAGATCAATACTTCTGAACCTTTTTGACTTCAAGGCCCCCTATCGTCTACAACAACATTCAAAGGCCCCATGACTTTTCCAGTTGTTTGTGATTTACTGAATAAGGATTAAGGATAAGAATTTTAAAAATAGTTTTTAACTCACAATTTCAAAGTTGATCATAACTAGAAAAATGTATATTCATTATAAACACGCACATGGTGTTTTAATAGTTTTATTAATTTACATGACTTTTCCAGGCCTAGAAATCACACTTTAAAAATTAGGCTACCTCGTCAATTCAGGTTTTTCAAGACGATATAAACCCTGGTTCTTCAAAGACAAGAAAAAGACAGAAAACATTTGTTATGGGGGTGAATTCAAATAAGAGGTACATTAATTTTTACCTGTTTTTCTTTCATTTTTTGCTTACTTTAATTTTTGTTTTGTCTTTAAAAATTTTAAGTCATCTTAAGGCCTCCGTGGAGGTTTGCTAGTTGAGAACCCCTGATTTCAATCATATTTAGCAAACTTGGCCCACTGTGCACCTGGCAATAACATGCATTTTCGGCAAACAGATCACTAGGCCTGTCACGATAACTTTTTGTTGTGCGATATATGACCATATCTGCAGATGAAACTTTGTTTGTAGAAGCATTTTTTTATTTGAACAAGCACCTCATGACTACACCACGTTATGTACGAGAAGCTGCAAAACACACAGGCGCAAGTGGAATGTACAAAACATGGTGACATTAATTTTTAAGTAAATATAATGGGCGACATATTGCGTCACCAAAAATTATTGAGGTCATGTACATATATTGCGCGATAAGTCGATATATTGATTATTGCGACAGGCCTACAGATCACAATCGAACATCTCTTAACCATATTAAAATCCAGGTGTAAATGCACCCAAATTTTCATTCAAATCAATGAAACAACATTTGGAGGTGGTGAGGAATGTTTTCTGGCCCTATTTGATGATGGTTTTTTTTTATTCTGCTCTCACAATGGGAAAATAACCTTTCAATTTTGTCACCTGATTTGTCATCGGACCTCTCATTAATTATTCCACTGAACTGCACGACTATTATTCCAAAATCACACGTTATCTCTCTGTCTCTGTCTAAAAGACTTCAAAATGTCTTTTTTCTCTTTAACCCCTACTAGCATCTGGCATAAATGGCATACTTTTCACATTGGTGGTTGTTTTGACAAAAAAAAAGGCATTTTCCATTTTTGCGCAGGTTAGTACTATCAAATCCCCACTGTTGGAGATGCATTGGAATGGAAGGTGTAAATGCAATCCAGCTCAAGAATATCCAGACACTATCTAGATAAGAAATAAGTTGGAACAGTATGTTGGAAGCTTTATGCTAATAAATATCTAAAATTGCTTGGCTTATTCCTTGGCGTGTGATACTGCAGCTTCTTTATTATTACAGCATTCGTATGAAGCTCACTAATGAACCGTGGCCCACCTGAGCAAGTCTGTGATGCAGCTCTCGCAGAAGCGATGTCCACACTCAGTTTGCCGAGGGTTACAGAGCACTAGCCTGCAAGACTCGCAGCAATACTTGGCCTCAGGTGTCGTGACAAAGCGGTCCCTGAAGCCGCCATGCACGGGCAAGAAACCCGGCTCATGCCTGGACCGCTGGGCCATGGAGGGCATGGCAAGAGATGGAGGACGCTGCTGCAGGGCAATCTGCTGTTCCACATTACGCCCTGCGGACATGACCTGAAGAAAAACAGACAGATTAGGATCTAAACTCTACACCCATAACATGAACATGAGAAAAAGTTATAGAAAACGCTGCTGCAGGGCAATCTGCTGTTCCACATTACGCCCTGCGGACATGACCTGAACAAAAACAGACAGATTAGGATCTTAACTGTAAACCCATAACATGTACACGAGAAAAATTGAAATGCTGAACATCTTAGTTACAGAAAAAGTTCACAATGACTTCCAGAAACACGACATACTGAAAGACGAAAGAGGATAGTCTACTGTCATCTTTGGCACATTAAATTCTTTCTTGTACAGACTGAAGCTGTCAATAATTCTGTATTGTCTGGGAAACATTACTGAAACTAAAATGGAATGGGCTGTTGTCTGACTGGATCCAGAACCCCTTGGCAAACACAAATTTGTGGTCGCTTCACTGCCATTGTTTCAAGAACACAAGTGCGTTTAGTAGCAATACTGTTCAAACCTTATTAAGTCAGAAGAGTTTGATGGATTTAAGGCATGACTACCTGAAGCCCTCAAAAGCATTTGGACACTTAAGACACTTAAAATGTCAACAACACATCAAACCAAGTGGCATCTGCAACAAATGACGCTTGACTTTCAGTTGTCTAACTTCACTCTTGTAATTACTTTTACTAGTCCCAAGGTGATTTTACTGGATGAATGAGTCAGTTCCTCTCAAGTTCACACAGGTGTCCTACTAGAGAAACCACCGGTATAGTTCATCACATTAGCTGTGGAAATGCTTGAAATTAGCTTTGCAGACAAATATAAATTGCCTATGTAAAAAAAAAATTATAATAATTATAAAATAATAATAGCAATAAATGCAAGTGCACAGCATATATAGGAACTCCTTCAAATATACCTTTACATTGCTGTGGAATATAAATTCTACCATTCAAAAGTTTGGGGTCAGTAAAATTTTTTAATGAAATCAATGCTTTTATTTAAGGACACATTAAATTGATCAAAAGTAACAGTTCAAAGAAATGCTGTTCTTTTAAAATTTCTGTTAAAAGAATCCTGAGAAAAAAAAAATCTATCACCGTTTCCAGAAAAATATTAAGCTGCACAACTGTTTTTAACATTGATAATAAGAAATGGCTGCTAAAGCATTCATCTTTGACAGAAATAAATAATAATTGTTTTATCATTAGTGATACACCAAAAATACAATTCTGGCCTATACTGTTAAGCTGATAATAAATGTCAAGTCAATAAACAGCCCACAAAAAAAATTCACAATTAAACATTTAAAAGTTAAAAGTAAATAGAAAAAATCTGTAATATCCCTACTCACCATGAATCATTGTTATACACTATAAATAATTATCCTTTTTTTTTTTTATAAAAAGTATATTTGTCTATCCACCTTTACAAAAACAGTATTTCTGATACAAAACCAAATTATTATAAAATGATGTCAGCATTTTAATTTCAAAATTGCTTATGAAAATCATGAGTAAGCCATGACTGTATCATCTTGACTGTGAGTAAGTGACGAGGGCGTCGTGAGACCCATTAACCTCTTAAATGCCGTCTGACATCACAACGGCTTGACTTCTGCCTCTCTGCCTGTTTCACATCTCAAGCCGATGTCAGACAGATAGAAGTTAGTCATCTCCTCTTACATTTTCATATTCGAATGCCTGCCACCGAGGCAACATTGTGCTTACATTGCCACATCAACAGCTCCTGACCGGCAGCTCTCAAGACTGGGAAATCCCTTCATAACAGACATAGCTCTCTAGCTCTAATAATATCTCCCCTATGAGCCAGCTACACACTAACCGCACATGCAGGAAGGTCCCGGCTCCATTGCTGAATGCTGTTAGAATTCCTTTAAGCAGAGGATACCACAGTTATTCAACAAGAGTGACTGGTACCCACCGCACATGCCTCTTCTCTGAAACTGAAATTATAGCTATTTATGGTGCATTTTTATGAAGGTAGGTAAACCTCGCAAAAAAATATTTTGAATTGGGAAGTTAGAGCTCAGTCATATATCACTTGAAATGGTTTGATCTAGCTTCCAGTGACAAACAACTGCTCTTAATGAAAAACATTATTACTGTTGTTTGCTAAGGCATATTCGAGGTTACGGATCTGAACAAACTACTAACACCAAGTAGCAAACGTCAGTATGCAACTCATTCCCGCACAGACTGTACTACGAACAAAAACGGTACCTCAAATTGTGAAGCTTGTTGAGAAGAAGTGTGCTACTACTTTTTAAACCAATCAGCTTGGTGATTTATGACTGGTGAATGACAAAATGGCTGAAAAATCCCATTAACTTGCATTGAAAAATAGACTCAAACGTTTACTTGCACCAGTAAGATTAATAACATTTTTATTTTCAATTACAATTATGGCTTCCAAAAATTATGAACAAAATGATAAAACACGTTACTTTTTGCTATTATGGTCCTGTTTTGTCAAATATACTGATTATATACTTTATATGCCAAAATTTTTTTTAAATATATTAAATAATTTTTTAGTATTTAAAATATATATATAAATATAAGTTTTTCATTTGCAATTTTATTCTCACTTTATTTTCATTTATTACTGTTGTATTATTTATTTAAATGTGTATATATATTTATTTGTACCTATTTTTGATTTGTTTTTCAATTATTTAACTGAAATATAATTCAAAAATCCACTTAAAAAAAAAAAAAGTTCATTAGATGCATGATGTTTCCAAAGTCACTGAATAATGATGTTAAATAATCATTATCTCAATATTAACCAAAATAATTGTGATTATAATTTTTTGCCATAATAGCAACATGCTAAAAACCATTAAAAACACTTTTTTGGACAGGCACTCTTATTTTCTTCAACTGATTAAAGGTTTGTTGCCCAGATAAATGGCTTTTGGGAGGAAGAGAACAGCCATGTTTGGACAGCCATGTTGGATGCTCACACACACACACGTGCACACATAGTCACACCCATCAAATTATTCCCACTCTCAGCAAGAAATGTTTAATCCCATATGACGTATATAACATGTTACAGCATTTAGTGAGAGTGTTCCACAAACACTCTCTATGGCTCAACATGCCTTTCGTCAAATTACGACGATAGTAACTAATGTCAGCTCTATCCTTACTGGACACTATGACTGGAAAAAATCCAGAGTGACAAAAAACAAAAGCAAATATTCCCATTTAGTTTAGTTGGAAAGTTTAGTGGATCTTGTCCCTGATTTTGTTTCTGTTTTACTTAAGGTACACAGGTATTTCCCTACCTTTATCTCTCGTCTCACGCTGCACTATGCTGAGGTCAAAAATAAAACCACCTACAAGTGTGGATAAAACTGTCCCTGAAATAATCCACAAACTCTGAGAAAGAAAAATATCCAACTACACAAACAAATAAAAGAAATATTCAACAGAGCACAAATAAAAATCCATGTACTGGTGGCTGACCAGAATGAGCAGTTCTCCAGGGATTTCCAGGAATATTTAAGGGGCTTTTCCATTTGCTGCCTCATTCCTCTCCGTCACTGCTGACAATACACATACACCCCCCCACACACACACACACGCACAAGCACATAAACACCCATTAAGAAAAAAAGGGAAGCTACTTGTAAACTATTGTTTATAACAGGAATTACGGGACCTTATCCAAATATAAAAGAAACTAAATAATGAATTAATTGTATGAACAAAAATTCATATACACTACCATTCAAAGGTTTGGAGTAAAAATCTTGGATAAGGTTTTTTGTTTTGTTTTGTTTCTGAATGTTTCTGAAAGAAATCTCATATGCTCGCCAAGGCTGCATTTATTTGATCAAAAATATAGTAAAATAGTTATATGGTAAAATATTTTTAGAATTTATAATAACAATTTTCTATGTTAATATATTATAAAATGTAATTTATTCCTGTGATAGCAAAGCTGAGTTTTCAGCAGCCATTACTCCAGACTTCAGTGTCATGTGATCCTTTAATAATCATTCTAATATGCTGATTTGGTACTCAAGAAACATTTATTATTATTTTGTGCTGCTTAACTTTTTTGTTGAACCAATGATATACTTTTTTAGAATTCTTTAGTGAATACAAATTTCAAAAGAACAACATTTATTTGAAACAGAAATCTTCTGCAACATTATAAATGTGTCTTTACTGTCACTTTTGATCAATTTAATGTGTCCTTGCAGAATTAAATGCAGTGTTTTGTTTTTTTTAATATTGACCCCAAACTTTTAAAAGGTAGTTTAAATGTGTCAAAATAGCACAGTTAAAGTTAACGACTTGGAAAAAACAACTTGAAATTGTGACCAATTCAAAGGGATACTAAAATCACCAAAAATCATTTACTCACCCTCATGTTCTAAACCTGTGCCTTTATTTCTTTTGTAGAAAACAAAAGAAGATGTTTAGCAGAATGTCTAAGACTCTCTGTTCCATTCAATGAATGAACCGTTTCACCATTTACTTTCATTTCATGGAGACATTCAGGTCATTCAGGTTTAGAACGACGGTAAGCAAATAAGGACAGGATTTTCATCTTTAGGTGAACTATTTTTTAATGGTATAATTTAGAGCGATGTGTCCCAAAAAGCAAGATGAACAACAAAAATGTGTCCCATATTATCAGTGCATTTATAGTTTATATAATTAAAACGTTAAAACATGCGACTTAAAACCAAGATTGAAAATAAATGAGACAAGACTAAGCAATGCTAGCGTTAAGCAAGCATCCATCCCATAAAGAGCATAATACCAGAGAGAGCTGCAGGTGAAAAGTGTAACAATACATTTCAGACTGTTAGTTTAGAGCTGAGTAGCATCAAGGTAATACAGATTCTTTGAATGTATTTGCACTGCAGGAGATCTCATAACAAAAATGAAAGAGAAGTAAGAAGGGGAATATCACCTCTTTCTGGCCTGACCTTTTACTAGAGGAAGACATGTGCGACTACTATAGGTCACTTACAGGAATAAAACACCATTTCAGATGTGAATACATGATGAAGGTGTGATGATGGGTAAAGTAATGGGGTTACTGCATGTGAAAATGCAAAGGAAGAAGTTGGGCTTATGTCATCTTCTCAGCCACCTTCTGCTTTCAGAAGAGCGTCTGCTCCAACTTCTGTTGAAATCAAGCCCCAAATGTGTTCCCTGTACTGTATCACAACACTTTACTGTGTTATTCTGAGAGTGAAACTGAACTAAGCTGGATTCAAACAGTCTCAGTCTCAGCAGCACGTGTTTCAAACTGCTTCTGTCCACTGGCTATTTTTTCATCAGTGTGTTTAAATAGAGACAGACTGACAATCTGTATTTACACTTTCCTACTTTATCAGTCCTCACTTTATTTAATATTGAATTTAATGATAATTTTAATATTATTCTTCTTGGTGTAATATTACCTATTTTACATAACAGTCTCCATATCCACAGCTTGTAGAAAAATGCAATAGTGTCAAACTCCCGAAATAATAGTTATTTTGTTTTTAGCATTAAACATAATTACACTTAATTACAATTCACAGATCTCAAACCAAGATCTAAACCCTTTCTATACAACAAAGCCTACATAAAGCATACATGTGGAATTTATAGAGCCTTAAATGTAAAAAGATCACAGTTGTGCTCATAATAAAAGCAAAAGTAGAAAGTAACGTTACACCACACACATGCATGCAAAGGTGAGAAGGTCGTCTATCAGCAATGGCAGCAAAATCATCTATCATGAATCTGTAAAGCAGCTGTTCAGGATTTAACCTGTGAACATGTTGATAGCCTTGCGTGTTTCACAACTTAAAGAATCAGCACCCAAAAGAGCTATATCTGCCCAGGAGACAGTAGAGCAGGTGAACATCTAAGATCAAAGCTGGACACACTTTAGTTACTGTAGGTGAACCCATAGACTTTAGGTTTGCCTAATCTTACCTTTCACTAACATGAGCTACACGTTAGTTTACATGTGGATCTGTGAAATAGCCATCCACTTACATGAATCAATTGGTCAACGATGTCGTCCGATGATCCAACCGTGTTTCTCTGAAGAATTTCACGAAAGGAGCCACGGATGGTCCACTCATATGACAGACACACCGAGACAACAACGTCCAAATTTACGCGGCTACGGCTCCGTCCTCGCTTCTCAAACAGGCTACAACGGCCGTAGGATCAAATCGGGTCATTTTGACATCGGAATGTTCCAAAAACGACTCGGTTGAGGTACACGAAAAGGTAGAGAAGCAACCACTGTGGCAGGGTGCTGTTGATATCAAGTCTAGAAACTGGAAAGCCCCCTGGTCTGACTTCCTCAGGAAATCCCCGTCATGAAAAAAAAATTGGTTGTAAAAGGACGCCATAGAGAAAGAATAGGCTGCGGTGAGGCGTGTGGCCGCTGGGTGGAGCCAGAGCTCAGCTCAATCCGGCTCTTTGCTTTCCCACGTGTTTCTAAAAGGTGGTGAACTTTGAGTTGCATGCATTACTGATCAAATCTATTGACATATCGAGTAAGTTGAAAGGAATCTAATTCAACTGATTGTGTTCCCGAACACCTGTACGACACTTGTGAATACATTTTGAAGGAACTACATTTTTTATTTTGTGTGGCAGGTCACTGTATGGATGAACCCACCAGCAACTCAGAAATGTGTGTTGCATTGTTGCAGGGTTATTATAGTTAACTAATCTAAAGCTAAAACTGAACCATACAAAAACATTTTCGTAAAATTAACTTGAATAATTGAATAAACTGCAGTAAATTAATAGCAAAAACATATTTTACTTCAGCTAGTTGCTAAGGTGCTGCTTTATATATATATATTTTTTATATATATATATATATATATATATATTTTTTTTTTACATTTTACCTTATTTGTATATTTGTATAGTTGTATTTTATATTTAATCTGTATATCTGTATTTATGTTCTACTGTTAGTGTTATCTGTATGCACCAAGGGTCTGAGAGTAACGCAATTTCAATTCTCTGTGTGTATGTGCTGTACATGTGGAAGAATTGACAATAAAGCAGACTTGACTTGACTTGACTAGTTTAGTTTAACTTGTAGTAAAATAACTAAAACTGAAATAATAAAATAATTATTAATTAAGATGCATAAGAATACATAATACATACAAGATACATAATAATAATAATACAACTATATTGGTATTTCAGTGATACTTAAATAACAGCATTGGTGTACTGTATTATTCACATTTGTATTACTATTAAAATCCTCAAATTATAGGCAAGTTTTTTTTTTATTTTTTATTATTATTACATCAATAGTTATTACAATATTTTATTACCAAGACATAATTTAAAGAATCGACATCATAAATATATATTTTTTCTTTGCATCGTGGCAAAATTTTTCTACACTACAGCAATGAAAACTGGGAATGAAAATATACTTAACTGTCATTACAGTACCACAATGTGAATAAATCTTAATGCATTTTTTTTTTCTTTTTTAATTTGGGGTAAAACACAATCCAGATTTTCTCTTTGTGAGATTCATCCATTTTTGCCAATTCCTTTATTATTGTGATCCACCAGTAGTCTTCCAAGCTTCACATCACAAATTAAAATGGTAACACTTTAGATTAGGGAACACTATTCACTAATAACTAGTTGCTTATTAGCATGTATATTAATAGCATATTGGCTGTTTATTAGTACTTACTAAGCACATGTTAATCCCTTATTCTGCATGACCATATTGTAAATCCCTTATCTCTACCCAATACCTAAACATAACTACTTCAACAACTACCTTACTTTCTATCAGTAAGCAGTAATTAAGAGTTTATTGAGGGATAACTCTTAATATAGTATATACTATGTGATATAAAGTTAATACAGTGAATGTGTTCCCTAAAGTGTTACCACTATAATTTATTGAAAATTAACTAAATATAACAAAATGTGATGTATGGGTTGATTAACACAGTGCATTTGACAGTATAAATCCCTTAAGTTTATTAAGACTAATGTGACTGATTACATATACAGGCCACAGTCTATGACCACATTAGCTCCCACCCACACAGGCAGACACACACACACAGAATTTCACCCCAACCATGTACATGTTATCTGCACACATAAATTTAAAAGGAGTTCACACATGTATGGTACCATTACAGTTATTAGAGGGGAAAAGTTGGTCGAAACAAGCGCGAGTGCATGTATTTTAAATAACTTATTCCATTTTCAAATTAAACATAAAAAACAAACAATATGAACCCATCTATCCTTTATCTCCAAACACCATAATAAAGTAGGATGTGCGGAAAAACATAAACTAGCATGGAATAGTAGTAGAAATTTAGATGTGCTGCCATATTTTCAAATTCTTAACCTGCACATGGTGATGCATATACGTTTAGACACCCCTAAGAGGGTGAAAAGCTTGACCTTGGCATGAAGAAGAAACTATTCATGCATGCAAAAATAAGATAAAAGAATAAAAAAAACACCTCCCATTCCATTACAACACTCTGCTGCGCCTGTTCTTAAAGTCAACAGCCTCGGCCAAGAAACCTTTTGAGATAAAATGCATTTCAAATACACCATGTACAAAGGTCCATGATTAAACACATATATATTATGTGTTTTTTTTCTTCAATCTGTGGTAAAATACAACCCAGAGTTGTTGTTGTTGTTTGTTAAATTCATACATTTTTGCCAAGTCCTTTATTACTGAGATCCACCAATAGTCTTCCAAGCTTCTCATCACAAATAAAAATGGTAGCACTTTAGATTAGGGAACAATATTCACTATTAACTAGGTGCTTATTAGCATGCATATTTTGCATGCTAATAATGCATACATATTGCCTAATTCTGCATGACTGCATTGTAAATCCCTTAACGCTACCCAATACCTAAACATAACTACTACAACAACTATCAATAAGCAGCAAGTAAGAGTTTATTGAGGGAAAACACTAGTATATAACATATAAAGACAATACAGTGAAAATGTGTTACCACTGCAATTTAATATTGAAAATTAATGGCCTAAATATAACAAAATGTGATGTACAGAGGTTGAATAACACTCAATGCATTTGACAGTATAAATCCCTTAAGTTTATTATGACTAATGTGACAAACTGATTACATATACGGGCCAGTCTATGACCAAATTAGCTCCCACCCACACACGCAGACACACAGAACTTCACCCCAACCGTGTACATGTTATCTGCACGCATAATAAGTTTAAAAAGGAGTTCACACATGTATGGTACCATTACAGTTATTAGAGGGAAAAAGTTGGTCGAAACAAGTGAGAGTGTATGTATTTTAAATAACTTATTCCATTTTCAAATTAAACAAAAAACAAACAATATGAACCCATCTAACATTTATCTCCAAACACCATAATAAATTAGGATGTGTGGAAAAACACATACAAGCATGGAATAGTAGTAGAAATGTAGATGTGCTGCCATATTTTGAAATTCTTACCTACACATGGCGATCCATATACGTTTAGACACCCCTAAGAGGGTGAAAAGCTTGACCTTGGCATGAAGAAGAAACTGTTCATGCATGCAAAACACAGTTCGAAATGAGATTTAAAAAATCCGAGCAAGAACAAAAAATACCTCCCATTCTGTTACAACACTCTGCTGTGCCTGTTCTTACAGTCAACAGCTTCAGCCAAGAAACCTTTTGAGATAAAATGCATTTCAAAAACACCATGTACAAGGGTCCATGATTAAACAGTATATATATTACGACCTAATACTAAACCAACTCACTTAAATATAAGAGCTGCAAACCATATATTTAAATTGGCATTAAAAAATTGGCATTATAATTACTTCAATTTCATCTACACTGGCATTTCATTTTATCTATACAGTGCAGTTCTTATAATTTTATGCAAATAAATAGCTTAACAATCCAACCAGAGATCAACTAACCCCCCCCAAAAAACTATTTTAAAATAACAAATCATATAACTAGATAATATGCTACAGTAACAAAAAAGTAACTGGAAAGGGATGCTGGACTAGGACCAAGTCAAAGTCCTATGAATATATCAAGAATGAGAGATGGTCAAGTGACATTAAACTCCTTCAGACAAAAGTTCTTTCAAGACGACAATTCACTGTCCAATGACGTTGGGATGGGTATGTGGGTATTTTATTCCCCCCATAACAGACCAATTACAGATTGGGGAGAATATAACTGTTGGAGCACCAGATTGGTAGAGACCAGACAGGAATTCTACTTCTGTTGGCAGTGACGATCCTAGTTCCGTAGAGTATCTTTGTGAAGTTTGCACTCCTATGCGGTTGCACCTGTGAGAGTCCTGGGTTCAATAGAGGGGTGGGAGTTGGAGGGACCGGGATGGGGGGAGGAATGTCCATTACGAAGAGACTTCACTTGAGGCAGTTGAAGCCTTAATGCCTCTTACGCACAGCTGCGATATTAACTGATCTGAGCTCGTCTGACCGCTGTTGGAGAACTCAGGAAACTGAAGGGTTCTGTGTTTCCATTGCCGTTGGTTCCTGAAAATGATAATTTGATGATTATTCTCAAATGACATTGATCAAACAAAACCAGATGCAGAAAAAAAAATACTTAAATTAGAATCAGAATTTCCAGTCTGACTGGAATCTAAACCACATTTTGGTGGAAAAGTCCATTAACTAAGAGGTACTGATGGGCAACTGACCTCTGTCTGGTTTTCTGAAGGCACCGGGGTGGTCCCCTCTTCGGATGACACCTCCATCTTCTCTTCATCTAAACCCTTGCGTCCCTCCACGCCATGCTCAGCTTCCCACTCCTGCAGTACCTCATCCAGGTTGAAACGACGCCGATAATTCACAAAGAAGTTTTTCACTTGAACCACAGATTTGTTGCCGATCACATCAGAAATGGCTTGGAAATCCCGCCCATACTTCCTTATAGCTGAGAGAGGAAACCGAAGATTGTCCAGAATTTCACTGCTTGAAACGTGCTATTTAAATAATCATTCATTATCCAGTAAGCCCCACAAACATTTGAGAAATGTGGCCAAAATTACCTTGAACTGCAAGCAGCTGCTCTTCTGTGGTCCAGCGGGTATTAAATTTCTGATTAGCCTGAGAAAAACAAAGCACATTTATACCCTTTTGTGAATAAAATGCATAAAAACGGTAAATACGGCCCTCTATGAAATGAGTGTGCTGGAAAGTAATTCTAAAGATGAGAATATTATTACCTCAGTTGGCCTAAACTCATCCAAGCCTGTGTCCAGCTTTTCTCTGAGGGCACTATTGTGCTGTTTGATGCTCTGAATCTGTAAAAAGAGGTTAGGGTTATTTGTATTATTTTGAAACTTTTCAGTTTTAGACTGTCACATACTTCTAAACTGTCTGTCAGATTTACATTTAGTTCTGCCGATAGTCTCAAATAAAGCACACCGAAAAGTAATAAAACGCTAACCTGTCGTTTTATGG